TAAAGTTTATAATTTTAGCCTTGTGTTATGATATGAGATTAAAAATGAGTTATATGAATATGATTATAGGAATGAAAATTTAGGCGGGGTTGTGAAAACATGATTGGGACAGGCTAAAAATATTGGGCCGGGGTGAGAGAATAATAATTGATAAAACATATCATTAAATTATTTATATTTATATATTTAAATTATTTTTTTTATTTTTAAATAAATTTAATATACATATTGTATAAGTATTATATTATTTTAATTCATATTTAATGAGTGTATTATATAATTATTTAAATTATTATTTTTATAACATTGCTATTGCCGGGTCCCCCAAGTCCCATATGTAAAAAGTGAATGATTGTATTGGTAGTATGACGGTTAACGTAAAATTTTTTGAAAAATTATGACATGAATTATTTTGATCATTGAGTAAATGTTGGGGCGCCCCTTATATGACTCGAGTACAGTGAAAAGTGTGTAAGGGTCGTTACGCTGAATCCCAAATGTAGTGTCAAATAAATAAGGGTTCTCATATTACGAACGAATCTGGGTAAAAAAGTTAGTTCGTGAAACTATAATAGGATCTTTGAATATAGATACTCTCACAGGTAAGTTTATAGAATTAGTTGATATTATGATTCATAGAAAGATAAATATCTTATATATTCAAGAAACTAAATGGGTTGGAGAAAGACTAAGGAGATTGATAACTTTAGTTTTAAGCTTTTGTATTCAGGTAAGAGTCGCATTAGAAAAGGTGTGAGAGTAATTATAAATAAAAGTTTGAACGATAATGTTGCTAAAATTAATAGAATTGGAGATAGAATTATAGCCCTTAAGATTATTGTTGATACTAAGATTTTTAATATTATATGTGTTTATGCTCCTCAAGTTGGTTTATATATAATAACTAAAGAAAAATTATGGAATGACCTAGAAGACTTAATAGAAATGAGCATATTAAAATGTTGGTAGAGTGGTGGAAGATTTTAAAATTATTCATGGTGCTAAGGTTTTGGAGTGATTAGTGAAGAATGTAGAGTCATATTACTTTCGTGTTTGATTTTGTTATTGCTAATATTTGATTTTGTTATTGCTAATATTACTTATAAAAATGGATTTAATAAAACAGAAATAAATTATTTTCTTATGAGAAGAAGAGATAATTGAGAATGTACAAATTGTAAAATCATTCGGAGTGAGGATTGAAGTACTCAACATTGATTATTAGTTCTAGATTTTAAGACGAAAAGTTATAAAATAAAGAATATCAGAAATCATTGTTGACAGATTAGATAGAGGCACCTAAAAAGCATAAACAAAATTATTTTTATTAGTAAATTTCAAGATTTCAAGATTTGAGATGTTCGAGAAAAAGCAAATTCTATGAGGGATAAAGTAAAAAATATTATTAAACAAGTGACAAAGAATACACTTGGAGAATCAAAAGAAATAAATTTTCTATAAATAAAATTAGATGGTGGTAAAATAATAATGTGCAAGAAAGTATAAAATATTAGAAGTTATGCTATCAAAATGGGTTTAAATGTAAAAGCTTAGAGAACTGAAAAAAATATAAAATCACCTGTAAGAAGTTTAAGAGAACGATCTGTGGCGCTGAAAATTCTGTTCTTAGTGATCTTTATAATAGACTAGATACTAAAGATGGTGAAATATATATACATATAGCTATTTTGATAATTTTTTTAAAGAAGTTTCTGAAAATTCGATCAACCTTAGCGATCTAATATCATTAATAATAATAAAATGTTTTCACTTTGTTTAAAATGTTTCATTTTTAACGTAGCATTAGTAAAAAAGAAGTTAATGAGGCCTTAAAGAAAACCAGGGGTGAAAAGTATATAGGACCTGATGATATCTCAATTGAAGTGTGGAAATAATTAGAAGATTTGAGAGTTTTTTAACTTACTAAACGCTTTAATATTACTTTAAAAATTAAATAGATGCCTAAGAAATGGAGGAAGAGTATATTGGTCCCAATTTTTAAGAATAAAGGGGATGCACAAGAGTGTGCAAATTATAGAGGAAAGTTGATGTGTCATAATTTAAATTACAGGAGTGGATAATTGAACATAGGTTAAGATGCATTACAAAGATTTCTCATAAACAATTTGGATTTATGTCGGGCGGGCCTACTATAGAAGCTATACATTTATTGAGAGGTTTGACGGACAAGTTCAAAGAGAATAAGGAAAATGTACATGTGATTTTTATTAATTAAGAAAAAAATTATGATAAGGTTCAAAGAGATATCCTTTGGAGAGTTTTAGAGAAAAAAGATGTTGATATGACCTATATTCAAGTCATTAAAAATATGTATACTAGCCAATTATTTTCCTATTTCAGTTGGATTACTTCAGGGTCGGTTTCTAGTCCATATCTTTTTTGCTTTAGTTACGAATGCTCTTATTGGACATTTATAGGAGGATGTACCGTGGCGTATAATTTTTGTTGATGATATCCTTCTTGTGGATAAGACTAGAGAAAAAGCTCAAGAAAAAATTGAATTGTGGAGGTCTACATTGGAGTCTAAGCCTTCGTTTGAGTAGAACTAAAATTGAATATATGGAATGTAATTTTAGTAGTAGTAGCTCTAATGAAGATGTTGTAACTATGGGTGGTCAAATTATTAAAAGGTGTGAACGCTCTAGATATCTCGAGCCTATTGTTCAAAGTGATGGTGATATAGATGAGGATGTTATTTGTAGAATTCAGGTTGGTTGGTTGAAGTGGATTTGAAGTGGAGGAATGATTCGGGCCTATTGTATGATAGAAAAGTATTGCTTAAACTGAAAGGAAAACCTTATAAGATGGTGGTGAGACCCACAATGCTCTATATCGATAAATATTAGCCTTTAAAAGAGAAGGATAAAACTAAGCGTTGTCGAGATGAGAATGCTTAAGTGGATGAGTGGCTTTACATTTAGAGAAAAAATGTGAAATGAATATATCCGTGATATGGATGGTGTAACTCCAGTGGCGGACAAAATTAGAGATAGTCATCTTAGATAGTTTGGTCACATTAAACGTAAATCATCAGATGATCTGGTTACAAGAGTAGATGTTTTAGAATCAACTTATGTTAAGAAAGACAGAGGTAGACATCTAAAGACTTAGACATATTATATAGAAAATGATCTTAATTTATTAGAATTAAAACAAAATATGACACTCAATAGAACGCGATGAAGAAAAAGAACTCATGCAGCCGACCCCATTTAGTGTGATAAAAGTTTGTTGTTGTTGTTAATGAGTTTATGTGTTTATCATATTAAATGTTTTAACACTCTTTTCAATCTTTAAATCGTCAATATTTTTTCTTTCAGGTTCAATGATCAACCAAATATTAATGTAAAATAGTGTAATAAGATAGTTCACAATTTTATAATGCTCTTTTTTTATAAAAGATATAATGTTATTCAGATGAAATTTCAATACTTCTAAAAATGAAATTTAAGAGGATGAAAATGAGTCCTAATTAAAAAAATAGGCAATATATGATCAATTTTTGGTTGTGTGCAATTTTGATGTCTTTTAATTTGTATATATTCTATTGGCCTATTCATATGAGAGCTCTTTCATGTTAATAAAATTCTTATTTTCCCAACCCTCTAGTCCCATTTTCTTACTAAACTCATTTGGGGCTTAGCGATAAATAAGGTTTACTTAACCATTTGTGCACTTTACTAAGGTCACATGATTAACTTGAAGATAGTTAACTCTTGGCATGATATTCAAAATATCTAAACTTTATATTAAGCATTTTAAAAAATAAAATAAATAAAATTAAGTGAAAACTAAAAAACACACAATAAATATAATTAAAAAATAATAATTACCCCAAATATACTTTGAAGTAGAATTATTCCATCAAGATTCTAAAAGCTTTTTGGAACATCTTATACAATAAAACAAGCCCCCACGTGCCCCAATTAGCAAGCGTGACAGAGTTTGCATGCTCTTCCTCCAAGAAAAAAGAAAGTACAAATTAAAACTAAGGGTCCGATTGCTGTAACTTATTTGGTGCGGTGGCGTTTTGAAAATACGCCTGACCTATTTGGGTAAACTGTGTTTTGACATCTTATTCGTTTTCAAAACGTAGAAAACAACATTTCACACCGCACTTATCTAGGTGCGGTGAGAGCTTATTGACAACGGTCTGACTTTTCCAAAAAAAATAAAAATTTGTAATAGTGCGGTGGGAGCTTATTGGCAAAGATCTGACTTTTCCAAAAAAATAAAAATTTGTAATAGTCATTGCACCTAACTTACCAGCAGATTATTTTTAATCAGCTTATCAGCAGATTATTCAATAAGCTACAGCTGCCCCAAACAGATCATAAGGCTAATGATGACTCGCCACCTACAAGGAATTTATTATCATTCTTTTAGAAGAAACTACTTGTAATTTATTTATATAAGGAAATTCACAGACATATATATTTAAAATAAAATAAATATTGGCATGAAATATACATCCATGAATTTCTTGCATAATTTATTTTTTTTATAGATTTTTAATAGAATTCATGTCCCCTACGAAATAATAAAAAATAAAATTATTTTCCTTTTAAATAATACAAAAAAAAACTAATTACAAACAACCAATCGAAACTTGCTATTTACAAATCAACTGCTCTCTTTCCTTTATTTCTCAAATCCTCACTCAAATATCAAAATTTATCGTAAAATCTCAGCACATAATTTTCATCTTATCAAATTCTCAAGAATATGATCGTGGCGCACGTAAATAGATCAGTTTAGGTGATCTCTATGTAATAATCCCTATACATACATACATACATACATAGATACATACATATATATATAATAGAATTCACAAGAAATTGTGCTTGAAGCCGCAGGCCTTAAATACAATAAAATAAAAATTAACGACCCAATTTTGATGTAAGCTTTGCTTTTCTACACTTATATCCCTCAAATCTTTAATAACACAATAAAAATACAATGCATTAATAGGGTGGCAGGAACGTAAATACATAGGAAACGAGTGATATATATGTAAATACTGCATTTTATTTTTGCGTGGGTACAGCGTAAGGGTCGGCTAATCCTTCGGAGAACGATACCACGGCCAAGGACTCCTCCCTCAGAAACCGCTGCTGCTTCGCGATGAACTCTTCTATCGTGCGCCGGAAATGATCCGCATCTTCCTCTCCCTCCGATTCTCCTCTATCGTGGGCCAATGCCCCTCTTCTTCCCCTCTCCAAAACCTCCGTCTCAGCTCGCCGGAGCTCCGGCTGCTTCCGAACTCGCTCAAATTTCTCCGATTGGCTCCGCCTAAAAGCATTAACCTCCGTACAAACCTTCTTTTCCTCGAACAGTAACTCTTCAGTCGGCTCCAGGTGAGGCGGCGAAGGATAAGGCATGTCGCAGTAGTTAAACTCAGAGGAGATGGATTCAGGGGAGGATGAAAGTTGGCGGGATTCGGCCAAGAGGAGAAGGATGATTGCGTTTCCGAGAAGAAAGACGAAGCTGGGGCTGATGAGGATGGCGGCTGCATGGCGGAGGAGATCGCCGGGGTTTTTCTGAGGTATGGGGATATAGAAGGAGGAGTAGCAGAGGAGGAGGAGAGCGGCGGTTGCTCCGATGTAGGGGAAGTGTAGACGGAATTGTTGGAGGAGGTGGAAACGTCGGGCTCGGGTTTGTATTTCGGATTCCATGGGAAGATTCAGATTGAAGGAGAATGGTTGAGCTTTCTTTCTCGTCGAGCAGAGTGGAGCTCTTCGGTTAGTGGGGATGAACAGGGCTGAATTGAGCACAGCGAGGGAACCGTTTTTCTTTCTTATATTAAGGAGAGGGAGGATAAGTTTCAAATAAATAAATGAATATTTTAAATGTTTTGTAAAAGATTAATGTCGGACTAGACTTACGGTCGTTTGAGACAGATTTTTTTACATTTATTTTATTCTGTAAATCGCTTTCAAAATTTAATTCGTTATACATCTTTTTTTTTTATTTTTATATAAGAAATTATGGGATGTATAAATGTTTATCATCTATTCAATATGAATCTCAATATAATTTTTTTAATAATAAATATTCTTAATTTACATTCAAGATCATTAAGGGCTATGATTTCTAAGATGAACTCGATCATGTCAAAGTTTAGTCGATACGGGTCTAATCAAGCCCATATCAAATCATCGATTAATTTGTATGATGAATTTCAATATTAATATATCTATTGTAAAATCAAGTGTTTTGATTAAAGAAATCCAACGAGCTCAAGATCAATCAAATATAAGGATATTACGACTAAAATTATTAAATAAATATTTATTATGAAGGGGGATTAATTTGCAAAGTTAGATAAGGTGGTTAAGAGAGTTATTCGTCAAATGATCAAAATTTCTCACACGTGGAATAAGCCACTTCTCTCTAGTTGAGGGGCGAAGAGAGAGTGAGAATTTAAGATTATGTTTTGGACTGAACACTCGATGAAAACTCCCGAACTCCATAGTCGTCGACCACCGTCGGTGACCTATGCTTGCTAACGTTGTATCCCAAATGTGGTTGTAGCCTACAACGTTGTATTGAAGACCTGATAATAATTTTTTTATCTTTATAGTTGCCGACAGCTATCGATCTTTGCCCATTGACCACCGCCGCTCATCGTCGATCGCTCCTTCTCACTGCAGTCAGCAACCTATTCTAGCCAGCGTCGTATATGAGATACGACCGTAACATATAATGTTTTATTGAAGATACACCGATATATAACTTATGGCGAAAACTACTTACAACAATCGTATTTAGAATAGAATGATTCTTTCCGGACTCCTATAATTTTCTATACATTTTATACGAACAAATAAAATATTTGGTGCAAAATTATAACTATTGATATGCCACCAACAAATTTTCATCATTCATCACGAATCCCGAGGCATGACATGAATCTCAAAGCAACTTTTTAAGCTAGAAACATTCAAACTTCAATTAAGGGCCATCCAGAGCTCCGATTCCAATAAACTTACAGTCAAACGGACAGACTCGATGAGACGGACCTAACGATATAAAAACTAGTCCAATCCGAGTTAGATCAAACCCATATCAAATCATTAAATGCTTAGAGGATTTTCAGACACATTTGAAATGTCAAACGAATGTCGAATATAGCGAGTTCATAGTAGAATCGAGCGTCTCGACAAGACAAATCCAACGTGCCCAAGATCGCCCAATTTCGACATCGTTAAGATACTGAAATGCCCATCGAACGCCTTCTAATCGAGGGAAGCTCTTCATGTCATCTGATCAAAATGGTTCATATTATTGCATTAATTGCACACAGAACACTATCAACAGATTCTCATTCGTCACATGAAGAGAGAGGCTGGAGAGACAACTTGAGCCTTTGAGAAGGAGCTCAAGTGCAACATCAACCCCGCATCGTCGTTCGTCATCGGCAACCGTCGACCACCACCAACAATCACCCGCCGACCTTCGTCAACCCTCGCCGGCCATCCTCGACCTCCGCCGATCACCACTGACCTCTATCGAACCCCGCCGACCGTCATCTACTGCCATCGACACTGCTAATCTCCGTCGATCGTCGTCGACCACTGCCAACTGTCATCAATCATCACCAACCAGACGCCCCCAAGTGCCCAAATTAACAACCGTGACAGAGTTCGCAAGCACTTCCGCCTACATAGAATTTATTATCATTCTCTTAAAAAAATTAGTTGTCATTTATTTATATAAGGAAATTCACAGTGATATACATTTAAAATAAAATTCATATTAGCATGAAATAGACATCTATGAATTTCTTACATAATTTATTTTTTAAAGTTTTTAATAGAATTCATGTCCCCTACGAAATAATAAGAAATAAAATTATTTTCCTTTTAAATAATGCAAAAAAAAACAAAAAAACTCAATTAGAGAAATAAAATTACAAATAACTTCCCGAAATTTGCTATTTGCAAATCAACCACCCTCCTTCCTTTAATTTTCAAATTCACACCCTACTATCAAAATTTATGGTAAAACCACATCCAATATTTTTCATCTAATCAAATTCTTAACAATTTTATCATGGCGCACGTAAATACATCGTTCCTCAGTTCAAAAATATTATCTGGTTGATTAATTTATAAATATTGATAATTTAGGTGTTCTCTATATAATTACCCCTATATATATATATATATGTATGTATATATATATATATATATGTATATATAT